AGTATAATCAAGGTTTAAGCTTTTGGGATGTCAACACTTTTGAGTTAGATTTGGAATTATTTCCTTAGACTTCTTGCTCATACTCGAAGTCTCGATGTTCACTTCTTCTTGTTTTCCCCTTGTTTTTAAATGTGCTACTTGCATTATTTGTTTCTTGGAACTATTTTCGAATGCGTTTATAACAACTTTACTCCGCAGAGTCTTTCAGGAAATCCTTCGCTTGTCCAAAGGTAAAGAGCGACCTTAAAACTGGTACGTCCATAGGTGATCTCAGTCCTGAAGATATCAGAATTATCGCCTCAATGGGTGATGCTCTGGCGGTAAGTGATCTTTAGCATTACATAATTATTTTTCAGCACCTCTTTGTTATTTGCCTTTATTTTTGCTTTATTTATTAAGATTTATTAGTCTTGCAGCTTTAGTCATCGATTTCTAGTGAGTAGGTTCCCTTGATTCCCTTTTGTATGGTATGGTGTTTTGTGGTTTTGCAAGGTTTGGCATTTTGCTAGCTAAATTTCGACTGATGCCAATGTGATCTATTGTATCGTGCGCTTTTGAGAGTTCATTTTGATACAACAAACAAGCGCATTTGCATGTTTTACTTTGAATTCTGTTCTCGACTGAGTAAGGGCATGGTGATTTTACCTTTGTAGATTTGTCTTTGACGCTTAATTTTTGCTCTCATGTTGCTAGTAATTCTCTTGATGTTGTGGCTTTTACGTGCTTGCATAGCGCGTGATTGTCTTTTGTTGCCGTTAGCGCGCGTAAACTCATGCTAATTCGGGATTTCTTTCCGATAAGGTCTGCCAGTTTTCAGAGGCTGACAGTATACGCGGAGGCTGGTACCATTGTACTGTTTTCATCGACGCGTTCTTCTTCAGACAGCGTTTAGACTTCGCGACGAGGCGCGTCGAGGCGCTACAATTGAAACAGCGCTCCGATCCTATAGACGGGAACGAACTGCTTACGAAACTACATCCGCGCAGGTCCTTATGTTCTGTGAGAGCATAGGATAACAGGAGGGCAGGCGCTGCATCGCGATTAGGCGCATCTTCCCATTATCCCATGCTGCCTCTAAAAAAACAAGCGGGTGGCGCTGATCTATTTCCGTCTGCAGATACGTTCGCGTCTTACGGGTCAAAACCGCTGTTTGCGTGTGTAGGGCGTCGACGCGCATTAGGAGCTTAATTGCGAAGTATGAATGATGTCTTACCGCCGTTGCAGGGCGCGCCAGTGCGACTTCCAATTCATTGTTTTCTCCCCTGCGACCAGCTTGTGACATGCCTTTACGTTGCCGCGCTTTCGCCTGGATTTATGAGTATTCTTTATTTCGCATGGTTACGATGAAATGCACTAATTAGTGGCCTACAGAGCTTAAGTAAATGAGGTTGTGAATGGTTGTTCAACAAAGAGACAATTTCCAGACTGGGATGGGTCTATGGCCCAAAACGACTATTGAATTCCGTGGAGCTGCCTTCCCAAGTGGTGGAGATGCAACCATCGATGGACTTATTACAATCCCAAGTATGTCGGAAGATGTCTAGAGGTTTTCTTGGGAATGCAATATTTGTATATTGTAGATATCCTTCGTGAGTTCAACAATCACTTAGTTGGCGTTTCTCATGGTATGGGAACAAGAGATCAGCTTCCTGAAACGCAGTTGAGTGTCGCTGAAAGTGGAGCTACGACAGACAAGATGCCAGAACAGGTAAAATCAAGCCTCAAAAGGCCGTGTTCATACTTTGCGGAGGTGGAAAATCGCGAGTTGGAAAAGTCGGCTTCAAAGATCGGCCACGTAGATAGGAAGATGAGTGCCCCTGCCCTTTAACAGGTCGCGAGTTCTGCCGATTTTTCGCGTTCTTAACATTCGCAAAGTATGAAAGCGACCTGCTGTCCATTCACTACACAAGGCGTGGCTGTGAACCGTGGGTAATGTGGAAATCGCTTGCGGTGCGCAGGCGGATTGCTGGCCAACATTTTTTGGCTTTGCTGGAGGGCTCTGTCGTGTTACAATTTATAATATGGTTGCTGATTGCACGCTTGTTACCCATTAGGCGTGCTCATCCGCTTTCGTGATGTGCCCATGAATGCGTTCAGAATCCCTGCCATTTTGCTTGCAAGGGCAGTTTTTTAGCTTTCAATTATGGTACTTACTTAGGCCCGAGAACTTGTCAGGCGGCTGAGAAATCTGGTCGAAGTGAACTACAGAGATCACTGGGTAATGGTCATAGTTACCATCGGCACCGAAGAAGTGAGTAGCAAGTTTTGCTGGCATTCTCCCAGTTATTTTCGATCCTGCTTGCTTATTGGTATTTCTTCAATGTCGATGTTTTTGTAGGTGTGCTCCAGATGCACTTCACCCAATGTCACCGCACTAACGGAAGCAATAGACATACTTCAGAAGAATCTTCCTCGCGCTTTTGTCGTACTATTGGGACCTATCCATGTGTCGTTTCCGTACGAACTCAAGGGTAACCTGTTGAAGTAGGTCGTTTGAAGATGATGTGCTTTGTTTTCTTTCCCTGTAGTTGTGTAAGCCTACGCAGTTCTGTTCATTGTTTAGATCCCGCTGCGAATGTTCAAGGGAAGCATCGAATACATTGATGGAGAATTTGAGTGCTGCCTGGAAGAAAACGTTCGAAGATCTGCAGGAACATGTGGACCATAACCCCTTTAGGGTTGGTGTTTTACAGTTAAAAGCTGTAATAACTTTGTTGTAACAGTGTTAATTCCAAGCTACCTCTTTATTTCATATGATTTTTTTCTGATTCTTCTTCTTCCTCTTCTGATCCTGATTTTTTTTTCTGATTTTCAGGCTTCGACATTTGGAATTCTTGCCATTCCCGAACTCACCATAACTTCTCGATATCCTTATGGCCTTTTTATTCCCAACAAGCCGCTACTTAACAGAAGAGGTATTCATTAGCTTTCTTAACAAGATTTCCAGCATAACAACACTGATTGCAGGTCACAATTATGCCACGAAATGGCTTTGGAATCGTTTGATTGCTGGTGAAAATTACAACCTTTCAGCAGCAGTGCTGTCTCAAGATGCTTACTTCTGTCCCTCCATCGTGAGCACTGCTTTTGAGCTTGTTCCAGCTTTTTATTCGGCTGGAAGTTGCCATGGAGATTTTGTGCGGAGGCTTCAACCCTATAATTTCCAGGGTTGCCCTTATTTCCGCAATACAGCGAACATCCATGGTTGCCAATTGCTGAGCCTCAGTGAGGCAAAAGAAAAAGAACTATACTTGGGCGTCGATGGCAAAGTTCTCAAAACGGTTCGTTCCACTGAAATGACTAGCTAAGCACACTTTGCATATTCTTTGATGATTTTCCAAGAAGTAGTCATTGTAGCGTGATAAGGCGCTAATGAGGCGGAGGTGATGTAGTGGCAAGTGTTACGCTCATCACGCGCATGGTCCGGAGATGAAATCCTGGGCGTGACAGTGGATTATAAGGTGCTTCGACAGGAATTTGCAGGGTTTGCAGGGAGATGGGGTTGTGAAAAGTCAAAAAACAAAGACGAAGACACATATTGGAAAAGTTCACAGGGATGTGTCTTCCCTAATATTAAACCCGCAATTATAGAAAAGGCGAACACGAGAACGCTTGTACACCATCGCTATTTGCATAGTGGGTATAGCATTTTTCGTCGTCTGCACGCTAGGAACGGTATTTTACCAGAGGAGCAAACAGGTTAGTGTCCACGGGCGTTAGATGTCACTACTCCTTTGATTTCTTCAAACCATCATTTAGGGTGAACATGGCCGGTTCGAAATCGTCGATGAAGCGCAGAAAAAGTTTGAAGACGCACAAAAAGAAGAGGAAAAGGCGCTTCTGACGAAGCAGGTGACAAGAGGGATGTCAATGAATGAAGGCCTACAGAGAAGTACTCGGAAATTGACTGAAGAGGCGTAAGTGCGGATACGTGGAGATCCAGGCTTGAGATTTGTATTTTGCTGAGCAGCTGCATGCTCCTGAATCTCGACTTGGTCGATATGATAGTTTAGTAGTATAGCTTGGCTGTTGAAGATATGTGTTCGCTAGGATCTGGCTCGTAATGAGGGCGCGTTTTTGGTCATCACCAGCCTTTTTCTTTATTTTCTTGGAAATCTCTTGTCCTGTTCTGGACAGCCATCAATAATTACGTCTTTTACAAACTCATTCGACTTTTCCGTCTGTGCCTCTGTATGTAACCTCAAAAACCACGCTGTACATACTTCACCTATGATGCCTGCAAATGCTAGGGCGCGTGGGATGGGTGTGGCATGAAGCGCAGCCACGCCCCCATCAGCCTTTCCCGCCACTTATAGCGGGCTCAGGTTGGCATCATTGGTGGAGAAAGACCGCCCTAGCTGTGCTCTGATTCGCGCCCTGCGCATTATCATTTGCAGGGATCATGGCTGCAGGTAGATACAATATGCATGCAGTAACCTACTCTGAAGAATTTTTGCTAGAATGGTAGCTGAGTTTTGCACTCTTTTCCTCTAGATTCTTCTTTCCTTCTCTTTCTCGAGTTTGGTGCGAGAGAGAATATCAAAGGGTCGGGTGCCTGAGACCTCCAAGGGAGTGCAGGTTTCAACCCCCTCACCTTCGAACTGATAAAGCCCTTGCGTGGGCAACTCCTGCAACCGCAGAAGTTGTGCCGTTTTCATGGTCTGAAGCTGAGTATAGTATTGTTCGCTGCGGAGGGGCGTGTCAAAGAGGGATGGGTTTGGCGCGACGTCAACCCGTTTTTTTTACTTTCGGCAAGAGACGAGACTGTATAATATCGTTCTTATTAGTCCTTTTTCACCGATTGTTGACGCTTATACGCTTCAACAGCACCCTAGCGGCACTCCAGACCCACCCCCTGACACCCTCCTCCTCCATTCGCAGCGAACAAGGGTATGGATAGGTCTTGTTCGTCCTTTTCCCTAAGGTATACACGCCCTCTGGATCTGTCATTTCCTTGCAGGTGGTATGACCGCTATAAGCGTATAGCTCCTGGAAAGACTTCTGGGACCTTCGGTGCAGTGCAGTGCACCACCTACTCATTTTGCAGCTGTTACCTGAGGGCGGTAATAAACTAAGTAATACAGAAGGGATAGCGATAGGACGTTGACCCTTACCCCTCTAGCGCGCTGTAGGCTGTAACATAATACTCTCCCACCACCCTTCCACCAGTGAGCCTGGCCTTCTCTCGTGTGCTAGTCTCCGCAGCTAATGCCTTTGAAGGTCCAGAACTTGGTTTTCCAATTGTTAGTCATTATTACTGTTTGCTGGTTAGTATTGTGCAATATAGTCATTCCTTTCGATTGAGGTTTGTATTGATTTCTCACAAGTAGTAGTGCCTTAGTTAAGAAGTTGGCGGTACAACCACTTGATTTGGTCTCTTTGCCTTATTTTATTCACTTTAATTGAGATGAGTTACATTCCTGCTCATTAATGAACCCTTAATTGTTATCTGGTTACCAATGGGTCAAGTAGTTCAGTTGCATTTCCGTATAGTATTTGAAAAACAAGCTATCCACGTATGTGATGCTGTTCTTTCGCATTTCACTTTGATTTCATTTACAGTCATTTAATTATGATGTTAGTGCATTTAGATGTATTTTTGTACTGAATTGTCAGAGATAAACTTTTCCATGATGTTTTCTTTTATTAATAAGCTATCGATACCGTACTCTTAGGTTTTCACCACGACAAAACCTATCGATAGCTGATGAGAGACACATCATTAGATATCGCTTCTGTTGGAAATGTTCACTTGAGAAGCGTGCCAGCCCTGCCGTATATGGCATCCACAGTCTGGAAAAGATAAACATACATATACTTCAAATCCCCTTCATTTATGAACTCAGTTGTAGAAAACGGGGCAATTTCCTGCGCTGTTTTGAGGCAGTGAAAGAGGCGCAAACCATCTACGTCTGAGGACTGGAATTGCAAGCAGGAGAGTGTACAGTCCATTTTGCTTCTGACGTTGAGGTGTGCCAGAGGGGCTGGGTCTGCGGTGACGCCAGCCTGTTTTCCGATAATTGCTGATTCGGGCAGGCGACAACAACTTGTGGAAGATGGGTGGCGTCGCTCTGAACTCAGCCCCTCCCCCCTACGTGCACACCCCACCAACCCGGGAACAGGACTGTATAGTGCAGTTCGCTGCGGACGGTTGGGCGTGTCAGGCGGGTCGTTTGGCGCGGTGCCAAACCCTTCACCAGTTGTTAAAGCGAGCAAATGATATGACTGTATCATATCGTTCGTATTACTCGTTTTCTACCACTTTTTGTCGCATGCGCGCTTCAACAAGAAGGCAGAGAACGGCTTTGACGGCGTGACACACTCATACTGCCTGACACGCCCAACCGTCCGCAGCGAACTAGAGTGTACATACATGCGGCCATATGTACCGTAGCGGCTGTTGGCGTGATGCCAACGGAAAACCCGTCCACTTCTCTGTGATAGCTGTGTACTCGTCCACCGCCATGCGGACAAAGGCTTTTTTCCACACGATTTAGACAGCTTCACTCCACTTTACTTAATTCCCCTACTGGTTACCGCCCTGCTAACATTTTGGGATCACTACCAAGTCATCGTGCCTCATGCCTTCGAAGGAAGCCTCCGTCACCACCCTGTCAACGAAGGGCTTCTACACGTCGGGTACTCGAAGACCCTGTCTTTGAGTAACGGAGTTCAGGAATCTTGAGAACAGTAAACTCTGACTACCTTTGAGAGCGCCCGAATTAGTTCTACAGACTTTTGGTATGTCTTGTCTTTGTGTGGTGTTTGGTATACGCGAACAGTTCCACTATGTTGATCAATCACCCCTGAATCATCATTTGCACTTTAGATATCATCAGAGTCACAGTTCACGCTAATCGTATGGGTGCACCGGGCCCGTCGTCGTGCTTTGCTCATTGGTGTGCCTGTTCTTAACAACATGGCCTTAAAGCAGTAAAGTGGAGGGGTGTGCCAGTGAGAAAGGCACAGTTTCATGGACTGACTCCGCCCATACAACCAACGTGGACGTGTCTTTGATAAGGAATAGTACTTACCAAAGAATTTCTTGTCGAGAAGCATTGTAGAAATTGCTTTCTCAATTTGCTTCTGATTCATTCCCACACAGCGCACTATATGGGCTAGATCGACTTCTGAGTATGGTTCAATAACACGGCTTATCTCCTGAAGACAGGCAGGGTTCAGCTATGTTTGCGGAAACGGCCAAATTTTCTCTTCGAAACCCGCAGGTAAATTTTTACCTTTGGTTTTTTCCAAGTACATTCATTAGAAGCAATAATAATTGTCTTACCTTCTCTAGCATGTTATCCCTCAACTCCCTCGAGTGTGCAGCGACTACTTGATCGCCCAAAAGTTCTCTATTGTAATCTTTCAAGCACTGAAAAGGAAACAGGAAAAGCAGACTTGCTTCTGCACTCCTGACGAAGAGCTTCCCTCAGTTGAACAGCAGTCCACGCTGATCGTATGGGCGGAACTGGACGCGCTATTGTGCCTTACTCACTGATTCGCCTCAGCTTTTTTAGCTACTCAGAACGAGGGGTGCGTCAATGGAAAAAGGTCAGTGGTGCTACTGTCTTCGCTCGTTGCAGACGCTGAGCGTGTCAGGAAAGCTGGGTATGGCGAATTTCGACCAATTGTTGAAGTGAGCAAGCGACAACAGTTGGTGGAAAATAGGCTGACGCCGCGCCAAACCCAGCTCCACCGTAGCGAACAAGACTGTATGCTCCTGCCCCTACGACCAGCGCGGGTAAGCCCTTCAGATTAAATGGCTCTATACCTTATTAAATTTGCTCAGGCTTCTCTGTGCGAATGCCTCTGCCATGCACTTCATAGCATCGATGTCACGACCTCGAACCGGTTGTATCCCCTGGAAAAAAAGGGGATCTTTCTATACATTTTAAAGGGGGGGGGGGTTGAATGGGCTGTATATCGTTAGCCCCAAATCGCGGCTTCCGCGCAGACCAATGAGTAATTACTAGCTAGCTGACTTGACACAACGCAGCACTAATTCTGATGGGTTACGTGACATCTTGAACTTTTGTGCATGGTCCTGTTACGAAACCCTGTGACGCAGACGGATAGAGGGCAGCGGCTGCCAAAGCATCGAAACGTGCAAAAAACGTATGGCGAGCCAGGAAACGGGATTTTTCAAGGGGAGGGGACTCCGGGGTGGGTGAGCTACTTATAGTCGGTGAAAAGCTGGAGTGAGCGAAGTCACAACGGCCATAGAGTGCCATGCGGACGAGAGAGTGCAGAGAAAAAGAGAAGATCGACGCGTTCAAAGGGATTGAGTTCAAGTTGTCCGTAGACCAGTTGGATATTAGCTGGATCCTGATGGAAATGGCCCGTTTCCATATCCTATCCTCTCGCCGCGCTCCTCAGAACTACGCTTAACGACATTACATTCAGTTTAGAGGGGGAAGGGCACGCGGCTGCGCGATGCCACAATCCATGTTTTTCTTTGCCTGGCGCCCTCTACGCTAGAAAGGTGCGTAACGCAAAGACATGGCAGAACAAGGTAATCGAGTGCTTATAGTCGTGTCCAACCGCGTGGCCCTCGCGCAAGAGCTTTTGCCTTCATTACTGAGTTATCGCGATGTAGTAAGAGTGACCTTGGATGAGAGAAGCAGGGGTACTGATTCGGCTTCGTTCAACATTATCTGAATCACCTCTGTCAGTCAAAGAAACGATTTTAAAGAGTTTTCTAATGGTAAGAATACCTTGCATAAGCACATATACTTGAGCGCGCGCACTGCTTTAGGGGGATCAGCAATCAGGAAACCTTCGAGGGCTTCGTAGCAGTACGAGTATGCTGTCTTGAAGTCCTTCTCGTCAGCACTATAGAGAATCCCTGACTGTAAGTCGAGCGCTGCCTAAAAATAAAATATCTGTGGTTGGCCGATTCCTTTGGAATGCGCCCTGCATTGGTTTTCCTTCAGAATTTCACAAGTGATGAGATCTGTATCATCCTAGTGAAGGACGCCAAACCACGCAAATTTGGGAGCTAGTATTCCTCCCATATGATCTACTATCAAATGCGTGACTTAGAAGTGACGCTAAGGGTTACAGTAGGGGCCAGATTCGATCTATGAACCGTGACGGCCATTGCGGTGCCCTTAGCCACTACCCCATGACGTAAAACAAAGGGCCGACAAGGGAGGTATTGCGTCCAGGCGATGAGGGTGGGCTTGGTGAAGAGGTGTACAGCATCCCTGAAACGAGTATAAATGATGATGAACACCAAAACCACGATTCCTCTTCTCGCTGATGACTGTACTGCTACTACCCATTGCCATTGATCAGGATAAAGGATAAAGTATTCGCTGTTTATCAGTCCCTTTTGGTAGGATGCGGCTAGTGCGCTTTATTGAAAATCGCGGATGTGGCCTATACAATGACTTGCGGGGGCCAGCTGATGTACAAGTCAGTGTTATTATCCTCCCAGACGAATCTGGTACCAATTTACCGTCCCCGGAGGGTAGAAGGCTTGGTTGGCTTAGGCGAGAAATCGACCCGCGACCTTCTCCAGTTATGTAATCCCCGATGAGATAGCTCAACACCAGTTTGACGAGGTTTTTTCAAGTCTTCCACCTTTGCATTTTTTCCACTTTCCACCTGGCCACTCTGAGTGGAAACGTAGGCACCGTTCGCATTGGTTCTTGCTAGGACCAACGATGTTTTTGCCTGAACACAAATCAGATGGGACATTGTGAATCCGCAAGGAAACTAGAAGGAGTTGACCTTCCCAAAGTTTTTCAGAGCGAACGCGCTTTTACTTTCTTCCAACGTGACCTCCATGATCAGTTCACGGTCCTCGATTTTCTTCAGTTCAGCAACTAATGGACCAGCTAAAAGGACAACAATGAGAGCCAGGTGAAGTTTTTGGGAGAATATATCATCGATTTTTTTACTATACCGATTTTCTGTGCATCGACATAGCGTCCGATATCGTTGTAGAGACGGATCAGCCGTGCCTCTAGGGTTCTACGAAGGAACAAACGGCTATTTGCCGTCGCCCAGTCGATGCATTCCTGCACCAATTTGACCTGGAGTAGTATATGTGATGTTACTGTATCATTAGATATTTGAACGTTGTCTTGAAGTCCAGTCCACACTGATGATATGGGTGGAATAGGGTCTACCTTCCTCACTGGAGCGCGTCTACATACAGCCATGGCTCTTGCAAACGAGTGGGCGTGTGACGAGGCGTGGTCTCTGCTGGGGCAGCATTTCCACCAACTGCACAAGGCACGCGATAGCAAAATTGCTGTGAATAGCCATCTTATGCTTGTGCGTATAAACCGACGCCCCCTGAGCCTTATCATTTGCAGGAATCATGACTCTTCCCTCTATGATGGTGAAGAGGGACACGCTAAGGACGAAGTGGGAGTGGTAGGCCTCACTTCCGCCTATGAAGAGAGTGTGGACTTTGCTCCTGATCGCCAATCTAGGAGTGGGTGGAAAGCTGACCTTCTCGCCGCTGTCTTGATTTATCATGAGACAGTATTCCATAAGAACACGGATTAGTTTGCTTGCTTTGGCTCTACCCAAAACATCATAAAATGGACGAGTTACCACAATAAGTTTACGTAGATCTGAAAAATCAAGCAGTTTTTACCCTCAACAATACTACGCGTGAAGGTTATTTGCAATATATAGAGCCTGTCCGTGTTGCTGGAAAGTTGTAGCGAATTCAAACCTTGTATCAATGAGGTTAGAAAAGTGAATGGTCTGCATTGTTTACGGTAGTAGGCAATGCAAGCGAGATTTTTTTGATGCTCGTAACCGGAGGCTCTCTCAAGGTAAAAGACTCCCACTACAGTAGGTGTACCTTTGGACCAGACTATTCCCCTTCTCCTTCAAAGCACTTCTTAGGTCTTTTTCTCTTTACCAATTGTTTCCCTCTTATCCGACTTGGTGACAATTATGCCTACAATTCCTTGCGGCAGAGTTTTCTCCGCAGCAGCTTGGACCTCAGGAGCCAAATCTTTTGAACAGGCTACCTTTACTCTTCGAACCGCTCACTCAGCTTATAGCTTGAAAAGTGAACACTGATAATGGCACACGAGATTGTCAACGCCCATTATAAAGCGCTGAGGTGCCTTCGGCTGGTTGAAGAAGAAGGTGGTCGTAAGGGTGACGCCTCCCATAACTGGGTCCGCGAGCAGTCTGGAATTGGTTGCGCAGTCATTTCCACCACTGACAAGACGTCGTGGACTGTTTGCTCCCTCAAGCTTTTCGCTCTTCGCCCCCCTCACAAAGATTGTTTACAAATTTGCCGTTGAGTGGGGCCAGCATCCTAGTGATGACATCAACATTCCTTCGAGGGCTGGGTATAGGATATTCCGCTAACAGTGAGCGCTACGTAGAGAATCACGAAGCCTGAGCCGGAAAGTTTCAACTGACTCACCTGCAACATTTCCGTCCGCGGAAAGTTTCTTAGCGTAAGCCACTAACCGATCTTCGACTTCTTTCAGCTCATCTTCCGTGTACTGACGATCTTCCGATTTTTGAGATACTGAAAAGATTTTCTCAGTAACTAGGACTGCAACTTTGTGCAGGTGTTTCTTACCCATATCTTATTCAACTCTCTGCAAGCGTCATCGGTTGCAGCAGCGCATTAGCCGCTTGCAAGCCGCGTACATAGACAAAAACTTGAAAAATCGTCACACCTCTCCTGAAGATCCTCCTGCTGAAGATGGTGAGATATCAGTCCCATACTTGATACAGTTCTGCATCACTGTAAGGTCCGTCACTTGCAGCGGGGTATGTGACAAGAGAATCGTAATTGCCGCGCTGTGGGGTCGCGTCCCGCAAATGACAATGGTTGCATGTAGTAGATGATGACAACGGGTAATTCAGAACCGAAACTGGTCATGCATTTCTGCAATGACGGGGTCTACATGAAGATCGGTACTGCAACGGACAGATTAATACGAGTTAAGTAAACTCCGCGCCCACTGCCGCGCGCTGCGCAGCAGAACTGCGATTCTCTTCGTCTCCCCTCACAGCGAGTGGTGATCTCGCGATAATTTTGCCTCACTGGAGAATCAGAGATCAATCAATATGCATCTAGTCTTCGTTGCAAACTTTCCTGCTCTCCCAGGTCCGCTATTCTTCTACCCTCTCGTGTTGTGAGTTATGAAGGCGAAGGCCAAACCGGTTACATCGTGACATCCGGGTAGCGGTCGCGGGCAACCTAGCAGAATACTTCTTAGGTTAGTTATATGTAGTTCGCTGCGGACGGTTGAGCGTGTCAGGCGGGATGAGTGGCGTGGTGTCAACCCGTTCTCTGAATCAAATTGTTAAGCGCAGGTTCGAGAGAATCTCAACTGGTAAAGCACGTTGCAGGACGAGTGGAAGCAGTTATGCGCTCACTGTTTAAGCAACTTTATGACTGGGCAGCATCCAACCTAATTTGCCTTTTTATCATTTATATATATTTTCATCAACAGCGTTGCGACCTAGTTATTCTGGGACGACTCTTATCAAATTCGTATTGGTGGCAGAATCTCTATGTTCAGAAGTCCTATAAATACTGCAGAAAGCAAGTGCAGTCTACTTCTCAAGGGGCTGAGGGGGTGTAAATTAGGCCGAATTAGGCGTACTGCCAGACCGTCCTCCAGCAGTTGTTGGTGGGTAGCAACAGTTGGTGGAAAAGGTTCATACAAACGGTATCATACAGACTTGTCGCTTGATGAATGAAAAAGAAAAAAAAAAACAGATCGACGCCGCGCCAAACCCGTCCCCTGGATTCATGGTACGTTTCCGCTGGAAAGAACGGTTAGACACAAGTTTTTATCATTGCATGATTATGACAACTGTTGTTTGACGCCACAAATGGCGTTTTGAATCATTTTTACACAAATGCTGAGCAATGAACCCAGTGCGGGTTCGAATCCCACTTCGGCCACGGACTTTTGGTGCGCAGCATTTTTCGTGGTACCATTTCAGCTCAACTCAAGTAAATAGCGCAACCGTTTGGGTTTGAAAATATCTAGTCCGATCCTCTTGTTTTTCAGTTCCTTGCTGGTGTCCTTGACGAGGCGTCCATTAAAAGGCTGCTGGCGGGAGATATTGTGTCCTTTCTTGTTCATGGCTGTGAATCTCATCACTATTTGAATTTACTTCAGTCCTGCTACAGTATATACCCTTTCATGTACTTTGAACAGAGGCTTTAACCTTCATTCGCTCAGTTTCAGAAGGCTTGTATGAAGGAATCATTTTCAATAGAAAAAGTTTCCAAATTCAAAAGGTCCAACATTTTTTTCTCGGAAGTCCAACACTGTCTTTCTCTGAATTTTGGTATATTTCCTGTCAGTACGTGCAGGATTACTGGCACAGCCGTAGCTAGGACTGCCAGCAACTTTTTGAGAGGCATTTCCATATAACCTTCTTCAAGGGCCCCCCCCGTGAGAAGCCAAAATTTTCAAAACTGCTGAGCGGAACACTGCTCCCGTCAGAAGATTATTTCATCACTTCTTATTTCTTTACTTATTGAGTCCTCTCTCTTCTCCTCGAAGTGTGCCTTGTACAGTGCAGATGGAACTTCAAGCAGCATGTTCATTATAGTGTAGTTCGCTGCGGACCGTTGGGCGTGTCAGGCGGGATGAGATTGGCGCGGCGCCAAACCCGTTCTCCACCAGTTGTTAAAGTGAGCAAAATGATATGACTGTATCATATCCATTTGTATTACTAGTTTTTGTCGCATGCGCGCTTCTACAAGGAAGGCAGAGAACGCCTTTGACGGGTTGACACACTCATACTGCCTGACACACCCCAGCCGTCCGCAGCGAACTAGAGTGTACTTAATTAAGAAGCAATGCAAAAAGTACAAGTACAATCATCATGTCTACCA